AAATGGCTACTGTTCTATGGATGTTAATAGGCCTGGACAATGGGTACACCATATCAAAAGCCCAGGTCCAGACGTCCTACAAACTGAATTTGTGCACAGCACTGTAATGTGGCAGGGGGTCTTGATAAACTTTTTTAAAAAGAAAAAATAACTATTTCTCCTTTAGATGTTTGTCTTCACCAGACTCTGAAACCTATATCCTAAGTTTTAAGTATAGTACACCTCTCCCCTATATTAAACATTATATACTATAATTACTGTGAAATAATGTAATATTATATTGTAATATCACTATAATATTTTTCTCCATGGGGCTATAAGACTTCTGTAGTACCCAGATGTAAAGTACTAGCATAGCCCCTCAGGAAAACAGACAAATAAACACTGGTTAAGCAGAGCATTCCTCTGTACAGCTATAGTTTTTGTTTCTTTCTGTCTGAGTGAAAGAACAACACAGCTTTGAAAGTGTTCAACCCAATCTATAAAAAGATGCCAGAAACTATATGAAGCATAACATACTTGATACAGGATGTAGCATTGCTTCAGGAATAGAAAAATATCCTTCAGTGCAAAATAAGAAAGTAAAACAGAATACAAGAGATTATGCCAACATCTGAATTCAACAAAAGAGGTGTGCAACATGCTCCATTCTCCCACAATCCTTTGTGTAAAGAATTGCCTCTTGTTATCAGTATTAAATGCTTTTCCAAGTAGTTTTTCATCTGTTTCCTCTGGTTTGTGTATCGCTGTTGACTCTGTGAGAGGTAGCAGGTCTGACATTGGCAAGGATTTGGAATACTTTGGTTAAGCAACGGAATCTAAAATGGACTTTCCTGCAACACTCTGGGAGAATCCATTGGAAAGGATGCTACCATGATGTGAAAACTAGAAAACTACATTCAGGAGTCAGATCCATGTATCAAGATCCACTATACATGTATCATTTTGGCAAAAGACTCCACATAGAAACAGAAGTACAAATTAACACAAAAAAAACATCTAGTTATGATTCTGTACATGTGTGTTTCTTTACAGACTGACGTGTACTATTTAACTTGCAAAAAACACCTGGGAGAGACTGTGCTCATCAGGCTGGAAAAGTCCCCCATTCTCGCTGGAGATGACTGGTTCTGTTCGATGGTGACAGTGGAGTTTGAGGAGAAAACCTACAACTTCCCTTGTTACAGATGGCTGAAGGGGAAAGAGTGCCTTGAGCTGAGAGAGGGCAAAGGTATTCATTCCTTATTATAAATAAAATTCATTTCTGGGTTTTA